ATTAAGTGCTTCTGGATGAATGGCTACCAAGTGCCCAAAACAAGCAAAGTCATTTCTGAGGGAAGGAAATATCATCCTATACCTGAACTTCTTTAATGGCAGCTTTTAAAGCATCATATCCAGCACATAGACAATGACAATCAGACACATGGGGAGATAGGACAGGAAAAATGAGAACTAGCAGAAACAAAAAAAAAATATATAGAAAATGTACAATGACTATAGATCAGTGTTCTAACAGAAATCTAATGCAAGCCACAAAAGTGAGATGTGTATGTAATTCAAAATATTCTAACCATGTTAAAAAGGTAAAAATAGGTGAGATAAAATTGGTAAGTATTTTTCTTTAACACAACTGACATTTTTATTTACCCAAATTATTATTTTGAATGTATCCAGTGCAGGCCACATCTTCAATTCATTAATTGTTTATAGCTCAGTTCATCCCTTTTCCCGCTAGTGGTTATGAAACAAATGACTAAGCCAGCTCATGTGAGGAAATAGTTATTTTGATTCAGCCCTCAAATAGCAGTACCTGGGACACTAAATGTTATAATCAGGAAGATGTGTCTGTTTGACTGAGAGTGGAGACTAGAACAATTTGCAAGAAGGAATCCACAAAATAAGAGTGGGGAAAGGGAGAATTCAAATAGTATCAGGTAAGGATGTTCTGAAGACAGAAATCAGAAGGGAAGCACATTCTTTTGAGATAAGGATTACTGAAATAAAGAGATAAGAAATATTTTGACAGTATCAAAAATGGATAGAACCCTCTGGTATGAGCAGTTTCTTAAAGCATTCAATATTGGCCTGGGATTTAGCTCAGTGGTTCCACCACCTGCCTCGCAAGCGCGAGGTCCTGAGTTCAATCCCTGGTACCAAAAAAAAAAAAAAAAAAAAAAAAAGCATTCACTATTGAAGAAGAAAAGTATATAAGATGTCTTGTAGTGCACAGAAAAGAGTAAAATAAAAATGATTTGGTAAGTTAAATATAGGTCAAATTAAATATTTACCACATCCCGAATAATAAAGCAAAATATCTCTTAAGAAGCTGAGTCAAAATGCAAAAATAAATAAATAAATAAAAAGATTTTAAGTAAGTTTATTTTTAGCAGTAAGTTTTTTTTTTTCCAGGTTTTCTTATTCTGCTGTTGCTAGGCCACGTAGCATCTGCCCCTAGAGGTGAACAGTTCACTATGCCATTTATAGGCAGAAAATGGCTCACGTGGCAAATAAACATCTGGCATCTCAAGCAATGACTCTGGTAATAAGTATTTTTATTACTCATTTTTGGTCTTAAAGGTAGAATTCTTCTCACTTTTACATGTTTTCCTGGGATACCATTCTGTATGTTTCAACATCTATGGTGTCTCCTCAAAGACAGGGTTACTTTAATTCACAGTTATGGTGTATTCTTAAGAAGTATTTAAATTCATTCAAAATTATTTATTAAGCTTCTGTTTGAGTCAAAAATATTTCATATCTGATTAATTCAACTGAGTTCAGCTTTTAAAGGGTACTGTTTTTCTACAATGTGACTATTTCTTTTGAAAATCTATGATTAATATGTGTTTTCAGTGATAGAAAGGAATTTGGTGTTTTACTAAACTATCTGTCATAATTTTAATAAATCTAGGATTATCTAGGCTGATTTTATGGAATTTCTAAAATACATGATAAGAAGTGAAAGTGAACTTAAAGTGAATTTAATGTAGGACAGGCATTCATTTAGTCTAATAGCTAAAGTGTGTTCATTGAAGAAAAAGCACTTGGTTTTGGTTTTGGTTTTGTTTTCTCACCTCTGCAAACCTCAAAATAGCACACTTTGCAAATATGATTGACTACAGAGATTATAGCTTAGCGAGATGATTCATGGCTAACATATCATTCATCTGCCTTTTATTTTTGGAGCCTTGTGTATTGGCCAAATGCCTACATGTCTCTGATATGCTCCTAAAGATAAAGGACTTTAAACTCAAAATGAAGAGCAGTGTTGTCTATTATCAAACCTCAAAATAGCACACTTTGCAAATATGATTGACTACAGAGATTATAGCTTAGCGAGATGATTCATGGCTAACATATCATTCATCTGCCTTTTATTTTTGGAGCCTTGTGTATTGGCCAAATGCCTACATGTCTCTGATATGCTCCTAAAGATAAAGGACTTTAAACTCAAAATGAAGAGCAGTGTTGTCTATTATATCAATAAATATTCTGCAAACCTCAAAATAGCATTCTTTGCAAATATGATTGACTACAGAGATTATAGCTTAGCGAGATGATTCATGGCTAACATAATATCATTCATCTGCCTTTTATTTTTGGAGCCTTGTGTATTGGCCAAATGCCTACATGTTTCTGATATGCTCCTAAAGATAAAGGACTTTAAACTCAAAATGAAGAGCAGTGTTGTCTATTATATCAATAAATTTATTTTTATAAAAGGTAGGGAAAGAAGGGACTAACAGTAGTTGAATAAAAGGAAAACAATGAACTTGTCACACCTACAAGTACAACTATAAAAATGTGGAGGAAAAAAGGTAAACCTTCCCCCAACTCCATGAGACCACAACCAAGAGAGTATCACTTGACCAGAGATGACAAAAGAGCACAAAACTCCCTCCCCAAGTCAGTCCTGAGAAACTGGAAAAAGAAGAAGGAAAGAGGCCAACAATGCATTCCTCAGCAGACACCCTGGCTATAAGAGACTAAGCAATAAGATTTCTAAAGTATTGAAGAAGAATTTTATATTCAGTTATATTGTCATTTAAGTAGGAAGGAATCTGTATTCATTTTCTATTGGGGACATGACAGATTGCTTAAATCAATACAAATTTTTATTTCATATTTCTGTTGGCTGGAGGTAGCACACAAAAGGAACATGAAAATATGCTAAATACCTTTTTATTAGGAGGAAAGCAAAAATAAAGGTGAATAAATATTACTATGGGTCATAGGTTAAGGATCGCTATCAGAACAAAAATAAAAATAGCACGTGTAACTTTTAAACTCACAAAAAAAAAATTTCAATGTAATAAATGGAACATAGAGAGAGGGGGAAAATAAGCCCTAGAAAGCACAATGAACAGGAAATATAGCAGGAAAAATTCTAATATTGCAGTAATTACAATAAGGGTAAATTATCAAACTCATCAATTCACTGAAACTCACAGGTTGAATTTTTCAAAAACCAACAGCATGAATTGTTTCCAAAAAGTATACTTAAAATGTTAAACAATAGACTACAAGTTTTAAAAGTAGCATATCACTCAATGTAAGCCAAATTTCATTGCAGAAATGAATTCCAAAATGTCAGTAATTCTACTCTGTCTCATCAGGAAGTGACACATTCTATTGCCAGTTATATAACCAAATTCCCACAAGTTCACTGATGTTCCACAAAGGCTCAGGGATAAATGGCTTGTGAGATGTGTGGTAAATCACTTGCCTAATACTCCAGGCCCTTGTTCATCCCTAGCACCACACACAAACACAGAACAAAGTCCATAATGGTTGGTGATTGCTAGGACTGCTGGCAAAGGTCAGGTCTCCAGCCTCTATGATATTATCTATTTCTATATTTATTTTTTAATTAATCTTATTGGTACATTTAATGTATACAATGTCATGACATTCATTGCTGGAAATTTGTACCTTTACACAATCAATCTTGATTCTTGCTTTTCCCCCACTCCCCTCCCCTCCCTTCAACCCCTCCCTCCCTGACTACAAAGACTTTGTTTCCATTATTTTTCATTTTCTCATATTAATTCTGTATTTAAATAATAGATTCAACCCATGAATGAAAGCACAATGGTTGAAACTGCTCACTCATGAGCATTTAAAAGGAAAACAGGTTAGGAGGATGCGTTCATGTGACCAATGTGGGTAGAGAGATTATTTATATTTGTGTCAAAGGAGGCCTCTGCCTCAGTGAACTAAGCCTGCTTTCACTGACTGAAACAAAGGCAAGACAGGTAAGAGAGTAGGACCAGTGAATACCAGAAGGTAGGGGACAGGAGAATTTGGAAACTCATTGGTGACAAAGATCCGGCAGAAACAGTAGTGACTGCTTTACATGAGGGGGAGATTCCCCCAGCCTGTAGACCAAGGCAGTTGATCAGATGTCACAGGGCAGCCAGTGCTAATGTGGCAGTGCCCTCACCAAGGACCTGTTGAGCTGGACCTGGCCTTAGCTTCAGGAACAAAAAGGAGGTGAGGGCAGGCCGCAGATTCATTCTTTGATTTTAGATAACCCTAACTCGGCATATCAGATGTCTAACAGGTTGAGAATTACAATATTTCTCTTATATCATTAGGAATCCTATTTCATCTCTGATATCATCCCTGTATCCACAAGATAGCTAACAACTGTCTTCAACCACTTGGCTTCAGAGGAGATTGTATGCAAGGTTTGAAACACTTAGGTCTTCTAAGAAAAAAGAGTGTGAAGCTGGAAATGGTTAAAAGAGAAAGGCCAAAAAAGGGGAGGGCAGAGCTGGGGATTTAGCTCAGTGGTTCTGCTACCTGCCTTGCAAGTGCAAGGACCTGAGTTCGACCGCCGGTACCAAAAAGCGGGGTGGGGCGCATAACAACAATATTACTGTAGCTAAATCTGATTCAGAGGCTGAGGAATTTCACTGTACTGTCAGAGCCGAAGGGAGTGACTAGGGAGAGTCGTGGTTTTTTTTAGCTACGCCCTCCTATGGAAACACGACAAATGATCAGCTGTCAGCCTGTTTCTTCTGTTTCAAGGAAGAATCGAGCTTGAATCACACGTGGGCTGCGGAGAGAGCCAGTGGGAGAAGGGCGACCACGGCAGGACCTGAGGGAATCCGTGTAACGCTGCGGGGCTAGGAAAGCTGACGGAGAAACCCACGGGAGGCCTGAGTCCCCAAGACGGAAAATTGTCCGAAACTTTGGGGAGGCGCTGGCGGAGCGAGTGAGGACGCTCGGATTCCCTGCTTGATTAGAACCTCTGCTCTCCTTGTGTTCAGGGTTTCCATGGTGCCGGCTGCGACCCTCACAGTCATCTTCATCTTCCTGGATCGGTCGCCGTTGTCCGAACCTCTTTGGGCTGCCGGGGCTGGTGAGTTCCCAGGCGCTGCGCCTCTGCTGCCTCCTCTGTGCGCTCCCCACCCCCACCCTCTTATCTCCGGGCTCCTCTCCTACATGTCTTGGTCACTTCAGCCTCTGGCACCTCCCTGCACCTGGCGCGGCCGAGAGGCAGAAAAGACAGGAAGCAGGGGGAAGAGGGGTTATAGGAGGAAGCTAGCCTGGCAGCCACCCCACCCCCACCCCTTGCCACTAAAGTGGGTTCCTATCACAAAAGGCTACAGGCAGCCCAGGTCTTGCTCTGCTTTTACAAACTTGCCCCTCTCCAGAGTCCTTGAGAATATTTGCCAGCAGATCACAGCCCAGGCACCTCACGGCCTCACCACTTCCCTCCTCAATCACTGAGGCACCCACCTCTCCAGTCTCCCTGCCCACCTTGCCCAGGTACCCCAGGCCTCCCAAACTGCGAAGGCCAGAGCTGGACGCCCCTCTCCAGAGTCCTCGAGAATATTTGCCAGCAGATCACAGCCCAGGCACCTCACGGCCTCACCAACGCCATGCACCACTTCCCTCCTCAATCACTGAGGCACCCACCTCCCCAGTCTCCCTGCCCACCTTGCCCAGGTACCCCAGGCCTCCCAAACTGCGAAGGCCAGAGCTGGTACCTTAGGGGCCTGCCTGAGGACACACCCAGCAGCACACCCCCACAGGGGCAGAACCTAAAGCAGCAGGGCTGGCGCCCCGCATGCCCAGGACACTGGCAATGGAGCTAGACAGGGGCATCTATAAACGTCTGCCCTTGAAGCAGGCCCCCTCCCCCACCTTCCTCTTGGGGAGAGAGCACCAGCCCTGAAGATGATCATTAATTAGACAGAAATCCATGGCTTCTGTAAAACATTTTCAGCTTTGCAGGCCACACCATATGTGTCTCAGCTCTGCCTTTGGTGTGACAGTAGCTGGAGACAGCATGCCAAAGGTGAGAACCAGATTTGTTTACCTTCCTAAAATACCACCTTTCAGGGCCAGGGATTTAGCTCAGCGGTTGGGTGGCCTGCCTTGCAAGCACAAGGACCTGAGTTCAATCCCCTGTACCAAAAAAAAAAAAAAAAGTCACCTTTCATACTGATTTTTTATTTTGGCTCTCATCTTTATTATTTGTTTCATTATACTAATGTTGATTATTGTGTTGCTCACCAGACTATTTTTTATGTTTGATACATGAAGTCCTCCTGACTTTCTATGAAGCAGAGTGCATGGGACATTTTTCTAGTATTCATGTTACATCCTTTTGGGGATGTGCACTTCTCTGAGCCTACTGATCCTTTCCTCTGCTGTATTTTTTGGACATTCTAGATTTTCTTTTTTTATTTTTTTATTGGTACGTGTTTGCAGTTCAAAATGATTGCATTCATAGTGGGAAGTTGCTATATGTACATATCATATCTTAATTCCTTTTTCTATTTAATGCATTTCCAAGCTAACAGAAGCCAATGTACTAGCACAGTAGTGCCACCTCCTAGCAGTCAATCCAAATCCTATGAACCATAATCGTGAACTGAACCCTTGTGTCACACATGTCTCCCACGCTCATCACGTCATGACTTAGTCACCTCAGCATGGATCCAACACTCCCCATCTCCCTGCAGCCACCTGAGTTACTTCTGAAGATCCTCTACTGTTCTGGCCTTTACTGGCCAGGCACATCCCTAACAAGGACAAGTGGTCATGAATATGGGTATTAGTCACATGGGCAGAGGGAATATGAGCCTTCTCCTGGGACATGAGGCTGCTGCCAGGGAATGTTCTCTTCCTCCTCAAACAAGAAACGATCACTACTTTAAGTGGGTGGAGGGCACAGTGTGGAAAGGGGCAGTTCTCCCTCTGCCAGCTCAGCCTTTCTGAGAGATTCTCATCCCCTCAACAATATTATGAGAGGATAACAAATGGATCCATTCCTTGCTCACCCCTAATCCTTCATTGTGCTTTTCCCTCACAGACATGCACTCTCTTTTCTATAATTTCATCATCAATCCTAAAGCCCAACCTGGAGACCAATGGTGCAAAATCCGAGGTCAGGTGGATCAGAAGACTTTTCTTTTCTATAACTGTGTCAATGCCAAAGCCAAATCCATAAGTATCCTTGGAGGGAAGATTGATAGCACCAAGACCTGGGAAGAGCAGACAGAAACACTGCGGGATTTGGGCAACATGCTCAAACAGGAACTGCTTGACATTAAACTAGAGAACTGTGCAGCCACAGGTAAGTCAGAATACTCCAATGGAATGAGAGAAACGATACAGTTTTAGGGATACTTACCATATTTGCAAAATAAAAAAAAAAACAAACAATTGGATGTTGGGCCCTGCAACAAGTCCTGCAGCAAGGCTGGATGTGGAGGAAGAACAGGGTCAGATTAGTATATCAGAGGAGGTGGATGCTGGGTGGGACCACAGACTTGTCAAGAGCTGAGGCTGATCTCTTTCTGTGGGGCAGCTCCCGCCATCCTGTGGGCCAACCTGACCTGTCATGGTAGAGCTGGTGAACCCCCCAGTGGGTCCTGGGAACTTGGCTTCAATGGACAGATTTTGTTCCATATTGAGTCAAACAAAAGAAAGTGGACAGAGGTCAATCCTGGATCCAGCTGCATCAAAAAGAAGTGGGAAAAAAACAGGGAGCTGACCCAGTTCTTATACCGGACCTCTACGGATGACTGTGGGAGTTGGTTTGAGGAGTTCATGGAGCACTGGAAGGAAATCCTGGAGACAAGAGGTAACTGGGAAGAAGAGGAGGAAGAAGTAGCTCCCTTCAGATGAGATGCTCCTCCGTGTGTGTGTGTGTGTGTGTGTGTGTGTGTGTGTGTGTGTGTGCGTGTGTGTACTACATCTACAGTGATCTAGAATGATTTGTTACTGGGAATGGTGCCAGGTGTATTCTTCCCATCTTGTTCTTTCTCACCTACTAACAACTGTTGCTCACTGCACATGCCTATGTTGCATTCACTATGGATTTCTTCCTGACCTCTATACAATGGGCATCATTCTCTTTTCAGGCCTTTTCCTCTTTCTCTTCCCTCTGAATCACTTTTCCTATTCATCTCACCTGATCTCTTTCTTGAAATCTTTCAAAATCTCTTCAACATCAGCTCCTGAGACCCTTCTCTATCAATCTCATCATGAGTCACTTCCTCTTCTACCATCAAGAAGGGTGGGTTACATTGTCACCCTGGCTGCTCATTACCTAAATTTCTCCTTGATCACAAAGACCTCTTTCTCTTTCCTTTCCCATCTCAGGACCTGTCACAGTGCCTGCCACATAGCATAGGGGCAGAAGCTGTCTGTATTGCTTGGTTAACTAAGGTAGCTAGAGCTGAGGGGGCAGCTTCTCAGACTTGGGCTTTGGAAAAATGCTGAGTCTCTCATATTTCCATTCCAGCACCACCCACCACCCCAGCTATAGCTGAATCCAGGTCCAAGACCGCAATACAGAGCCCCAGAGCCCAGCTGATCCTGACCTGCTCCGTCCTACTTAGCATCCTAGGAACACTGTCATAGTTCTTCACAGTTGCAGGTCGTAAGGAAAGTTAAAACTTTAAGTTGGAAAGGCTTGGGTTAAGGCTTTCGGCTCTCTAAGGCGTCTAACCACTAGTTCACCTCTTCTTTCTCTGGATACCTGGCCAGTTCCCTGGGAAAAAACAGGGAGGACTTTGTTATAAAGACCAGATGTTCTTAACATCAAGATAAGGAATGTGATACATTCCGTCCCTCCAGGATCTCTGGCCAGGGCCCGGTTGGGACGCGACTGCAAGCACATTCACCTTTTTTCATGCCAAAAGTACAGGTAGTTTTACCACCTTTGTCTAGAGAGCTGTATAAGCAGCCCTCCTAGCCCAGGCTGCTGCTGCTGCTGTCTTACGCCCAGAATTGAGACATGTAGCCGGAGGGACTGCTGAAAAGACCCGTGCTGTGTTGCGAGTGATGGACCTAATTCCTCCAACATTCCGGTGCTGTTGCCAGAGAGCCTACGGGTAATTTCCCGGATAGAGTCCCTCTTGCTGTTAGAGGACTCCCCTCTTTCTTTGTCCTCTCCATTCTTACTTTTGTTTGCTGTATGCGCATATCCTTCAATAACCTTTCCCTTTTTGTACTTATTTAAGGCTGGTGGACGTTCTTTTAGCGGATCGAGCCAAATTAATTAGGAGACCGTGCACGGCAAAGGACAATAAATAAAATTTGTCCTTACACAGGTGTGATGAACAGAATTGAGAGGGAGGCAAGGGGCAGAGGAATGAGGAGTAAGGAGGGGAAAGTGAGTACTCAGAATCTCTGATTCTCCACTACGCCTTGAAATGAAACGGGAGAATCAGACATGATACCAATAGCTCACTAAGCTCAGCCCTGAGGTGGGAGAATTGATCCCTGGCATGAACAAGCCAGAAGGTGGAGCAGCCCATATTAACATCAAACTTGCTGTGCTCTAAAGTGTTTTAGCAAAACAAATCCTGGTTCCAGCCGGATTCCTTTTGGGGAGGGGCCAGTGATACATCGTATGGACACAGCAGGAACACAAAGAAGGAAAAAGTCTATTTCAGTGATTACACCATGGCGGCTCCACTTCGTGTGTGAAGAACAGTGAAGATCCATCCCATAGATTCATGGTGGAGATGCAAGCCACAGCCCCTTGTTATCCTGAAACCTCTAAAAGGTTCGCTGTAGTAGACGAGGTACAGATCTGGCTGGAACAAGTGCACCGCACATACGTCTCCTAGCACGCTAGTAGAGGCCTAGCTCCTGCGTTGAGCCTTGTCTATGTCTGGCTGTGACCTCACCCGTCCCCCCTAGTTGGATGCCTCCATCGCCTGTCCAAGGACACTCCAACAACCAATCCTGTTGAGCCAAATATATTACGCCCCCTTCGCCACTCCCTCTTTCAAAACTTTATAAATTGCTGGCTGAACTTATTAAAAGTGGAAGCATTCCAGAAACTTCCCCAGAGTGAGTCTGCTTGGTGATTCCGCTGCTTGTCCTCCCCGTCCGAGTCCCTGAACTTTTCTTCCGCGAGCGGGCTTGCGGACAAACACAACACACCGTCACTGCCCCAGATGAAGAGGAGCGGAACCTGTGTCTAATCCCACAATAAAGGACAGAGAAGTCTTTCCCAATCCAACTCACAGGCTGAAGTTTGGGGCCACATTCCCACAGGAATGATGCACCCACCACCACCTCCAAAATATATATTTTTTTAACTCAAGAAGTTGTCTTGGAGTATAGTACATGTCCTTGTTTTGTTTGTTTGTTTGTTTTGGTACTGGGGATCGAACTCAGGATCTTAGGCTTAGCAAGTCAGGTGGTGGAACCACTGAGCTAAAACACTGGCCTAGTACATGTCCTCTTGAATCACCCTTTATAACTCATCTTTAGGGGACTGCTGGCCTGTGTGTCTACTTATATGGACAAAATACCCCAGAAAAAAAATTAAAAGGAAAACATTTTTATTTGGTTCATGGTTTCACAGATTTAATTCCATGATCAGTTGGCCCTATTGCTTTTGGGACTTCACAGTGGGACCATCTGGTGCTTACTTACCTCATGGTAACAGGAAAAGCAAATGAGGAGGGAGTTGGCACAGGTCACCATGTTTCCTTCAAGGATACAGCACCAGAGACCCAAATTACTTATAATAGACCCCACCTCCTAAAGGTTTCACCACATCCCAAGAGTGCCACAGGCTGGTGATCAAGGCTTCAAAACCCAGAATTTGGAGGACATTTAAGATCCAAACTGTATCTAGAAGTAAAGAAAATCTAGAAGGAAGGATAGGTCCTGTGCAGAATCAGCACTGCTTTGAAGGCAGCTTCCTATCAGGAGGCCTCTGCAGCTTTCTCAGGCAATTCAGGGTGAATTTCTGACAGAGGACATCCTGACACTGCTGAGGGTCAAGAGACCAATATGACTGGAGCGGGGGAAGCCACTGCCACTGGCGGTGAGGAGGCTGCTGCCACTGAGGTAGAAAATGATTTCTCCTGGGAGGGAGGAGACCAATTCTTCTGAGAGCTTGGAGCCTTCTTCTACTGCTAACGAAGGCTATTTGAATTTAGGGAATATCCCAGCTTCATCAGAGTCTCCCCACAAGCCTCCATCTCTACTTCTAGGATCTCATTCTTCTGCAATCAGTGCTCCACATTTATCAGGTGACACCTCACCAGACTGGGAGTCCGAGGCTGAGGTTCTTCATTTAATTTTCAGCCATTTCTTCCCTGTGGATTCAGGAGAGAAGGGAGTCCTTTGGAGTACACATAAAAGGTCTTCAGTCATTGACACAGTGCTTGAGCTGAGTTTTTGAAACTCTGAGCTCATTCATCTCTTTGTTAACTTTGTCCACCAACATTAAGAGCAACCAAAAATGTCATTGCATTCAAAATTGTCATCGTTTCACAGAAATGTTTGAAAGAATTTTGCAGACTCATCTTGACCCTCTCTCCATATTAGTACCTCACTGTAAGTACCCAACGCACATTTTTTCCTATCTCTGTGAAGAATTCTCACTATAGACTATCAGGTCTATTCAGGTCTATATTTGCTACTAGAAAATGAATAACAGATATTTTAAAATCTAGTCACATTTTTTAAAAAAACCCGTTTCAGGATGTACAGAATCAAATCAGAAACTGCATCCTTTCAATTCTGTTCCTTTAGTCGCAGTGGGAGTCCATGATTTAAAGTGATTCCACTTAATGTTTTCAACTGTACAAAGGTGTGAAGGCTATATACATTCAGTGAAACTACTCTTAGCGTTTGGAAATGACCTTTTCCAAGGCTAGTGATCTGCAATATCAGGTTCTCTTGTGACTCTGGGTAGAGATAGTCAGCTCCAGTCAGCCACACGGTGATGAGAGGAAACCACTAATTGCAGAGACTGTGTTGCCAGCGTTTTTTTTTTTTTTTTTTTGAACTACTCTTAGCTTGGAAATGACCTTTTCCAAGGCTAGTGATCTGCAATATCAGGTTCTCTTGTGACTCTGGGTAGAGATAGTCAGCTCCAGTCAGCCACACGGTGATGAGAGGAAACCACTAATTGCAGAGACTGTGTTGCCCCCGTTTTTTTTTTTTTTTTATTGAATTTATTGGTACATTTAGGGATACAGTACAGTTACATTCATTGTTGGGATCATGTACCTTTACATGGCAAGTCTTGATTCTCATTTTTTTCCCCTTACCTCTGCCCTCCCTTCACCCCCTCCTCCCCTCCCCATCTACAAACACTTTATTTTCATCTTTTCATTCTCTCACATTTTTTTCTTTTCCCTTTTTG